GGCTTGCCCGCGGGCTGTCAGCCCCGTGGGGAGAGCACCGGGGAGGGCAGGAAGAAGCTCCTCTCCTCTGTTTAGTGCCCCTGGTCGTGCTGCCTTTGACCTCAGGTGCGGACGGCGTGGGCCAGTTTAGCCCAGATCGTGCTTGGAGCTTCCAGGGGGTCTCCAGGAGCCGCCTGGGATGGTGAGCTGCCCCACCGACAGCCTGTTGCCAGGTTTAAAATCAAACATGAGTTTTTCCCCTTGTGTCGGGCAGGCGAATGGGTGTGTGAATTGAATGCGGAGATTCTCGCTTTGCAGCAAAGCATGCTTTTGGGGGATTGACCTTCCTTCGTGCCCAAAGCTAAACGTGGGATTAAGCATTTCTGCTCAGTAGCAGGGAAGAAATACTCCTTTCGGTCAAGAACTGCGATCGGTTAAACCCAGCAGGCAGTCTGCCCCGAGTTTTAGTGCCGTTCTTACAGTTAGCGTAGCTGTTTAAGTTATGCCTGTAACATCTGCTTCGTTCTTGCTTGCTTCAAAGCCTGGCCTAGGTGCTGACTTGGGCAGCGAGCTCTGAGGCTATGGGTGCTGTCTCCTTCCTCGATTTAAACCTGGTACTTTAAGCTGGTGGAACTTAGGTGTAACTGCAGAGGCAATAAATAAGAGGGAGCTGAGTTTAAAAGCTGTGAGTTAACAAAAGCGTAGGAGCCAGTGAATAAGTGTAGTACATGTCTTGGTCCCTCAGGATACATGGGGCGATTACACCATTACTTCTTCCCAGAAGCAAACTCTGGATTTCGCTTGTGGTGTCCGGCAGTGCCGTCACTGAAGCCAAGGGACTGCGGCTCTTCACAAAACCTTTTCAGTATCTAGGAGCCTGATAAAGAGGTGGCTGTGTTCTTGTGAGCTTGGACACAGAATTAAATGTTCTCAGCTTACTAATAGTTTTCCATAGTCTTTCAAGGGCAAAGCCCATTTGATTTGTCCATGTTTTGGTTTGTGGGGGTTTTATTGTTTAGGATAACCTGTTGGAGAGATGATCTGGGGGAGAAAGCACGTGGGTTGCACAATTTGGTGACACAGGCCCATCAGGAACAGGAAGTTAGTTTGAGGTAAAAGGTGCTGCTTTTGCCTGACTGCAGGCCAAGGATAGGATAGAATGTGGGCAAGAGGAAGTGCAGTGCTGAAGTGCCATTTTAAGGGAATAAAGAGAAAATCTACACGCTCTGCATAGTCTGCTTTCAGTGCAGGATGACGGACTGGAGGATTAGCCGTGTGATGCAGGACTTCGCAGCTTGCGGTCTCAGCAAGGTGCAGCAGAATTTCTCAGTGGTCTTTCTGTGATCTAGTGTGTCTTTCTGTGACATGAGGCAAAAGGTGCTCGTCTCGGACTTCAGGCAGCTCAAATGTAGACACAGGGGTCCTGGGTTTCCTCCACAGTAGGAGAAAGTTATGTTTAAAGCCTATTTTCCTTGGAAAAAATGTTTCTGTTGTATTACAGTGTGTTTCACTATTCTATAACGGGTGTTTCAGCTCAAGGATGGATTTACTTGTCCATCACCTTTTTCATTAAGTCACAGCCCTGTGAAGTCACAGCCCTATGAAGTATGTGCATTTTCTCAAGTCATTGTGAAGTGTGTGTTGCCTCATTGTGGACTGCAACTTTGGTTTTATCAAAAAATCCTCTTGAAAGTGGACGTAGGGCTGCGCAGAAATTTACGGACAACTCTTACCAAACCAGCCTGCAGCGTTCCTTGGCTGCACCCAGGATGTGTTCCCAGAAGACCAGTGGTTATTGTCTGCTTGGTTCTTTCTTTCTTGGCTCTTTACTGCTGCTGTCCTGTGTTGTGTGCTAACCTGATGTCATGTTTTCATTGCAGCAGTGTCTCCTCAGTGGCATGTGGCTTATCTCCAGAAGATACCCGGTTCCTGCAGTCCACAGGGGAACAGTGTATAGAATGAGCTGGCCTGGTTTGGAGCTCCATCAGGTTAGTTAACGGCTGATTTTTTTTTCTTTTGGGCTAAAGTGGGTTTCCATTAGAGTATTGATGACAGAATCACAGAATGGTTTGGGTTGGAAGGGGCCTTAAAGGCCACCCAGTGCCACCCCCTGCCATGGGCAGGGACACCTTCCACTAGACCAGGTTGCTCCAAGCCTCATCCAGCCTGGCCTTGGACACTTGCAGGGATGGGGCATCCACAGCTTCTGTGGGCAACCTGTCCCAGTGCTCCCCATCCTATCCGGGAAGAACTTCTTCTGATGTCCCATCTCAATCTCCCTCTTTCAGTTTAAACCCGTTACCCCTTGTCCTGTCACTCCCTGCCCTTGGACAAAGTCCCCCCCAGCTTTCTTGTAGCCCCCCCAGGCACTGGAAGGGGCTCTAAGGTCTCCTCGGAGTTTTCCCTTCTCCAGGCTGAACTCCCCAACTCTCCCAGCCTGTCCCCATGGCAGAGGGGCTCCAGCCCTCTGAGCATCTCCGTGGCCTCCTCTGGACTCTGTCCAACAGCTCCACGTCCTTCTGCTGTTGAGGGCTCCACAGCTGGATGCAGCACTCCAGGTGGGATCTCCCCAGAGCAGAGTCCAGGGGCAGAATCCCCTCCCTC